CTACCATGCTAAGATTCGAAACCAGGTCAGAAAGTTAAAGCTGTAAAAACTTGTGAACGAACAGACTAAGGTAGCTTGCTTGATATCGTGTTTTATTCACTTTTCTATCATTGTTACAGAAAGCCGAGTCATCCATACCTCGTACGATTTGTAGACCCCATTAACCGTTACTAATACGAACAAGACATTTAACAAGTGGCTGACACAGAATGTAATCCGATTTGAGGTTGATGGGTTATTAGCATCTTTTTCCGCCGCAAAAACATTATAGTTCCGTCATGATGTCCCTTCTGTTCATTCACGTGATTAGGATTTACAGCCAGATTTCATCAGTTTTGATTAGCTGCGAGTAGACTTGGCGCTTGGACGCAGCCAATCGTCGATGGGTGGCAATTTTTACTTGATTTGAATTCCGAAGACTACCTTGAAATGACGATGACGGATAGAAGGTCGATGGAAAAGAGAAAAAAAAAATGAAAAATGGTTTCTCGTAGTAATATACATTTCCCATATTATACAAACCACATATGCACACACAGTAATATATATATATATATATATATATATATATATATATATATATATATATATATATGTGTGTGTGTGTGTGTGTGTGTGTGTATGTGTGTGTGTGTGTGTGTGTGTGTGTGTGTATAAAATAAATAAATATATATATGTATAATTATTTATATATTATATGAGCGATACTTATTAGAAAGCGCTCAATATCAGAGATAGAGCTAACATATTTGGTTGGATAGATATGAGTTTGTGACCCTGGGTTTCACGCTTTAGCGATCGTCAGACAAACTGATTAATTTTTTATAATTTGGGGCTTATGTAGATTGTGTGTATTAGTGTTATTGTGGAAGTGGTGGGGGAAACTTCGTCGCTTATGTCATCGTACTAACGCAAACATCGATGTATGCAGACACATATACATACTTGGTCGTCCGTCGGGACTCATACATATATAAACATATGTGGGCAGTTTCGGATATGACATATGTATGTATACGGGTGGTGTTGTATCTATACATACGCATTTGTATGATGAAATTCAAAGATTGGGAGTGGAGCGAAGATTTCTCGTGAATGTCTCGTGAATGTATACATGTCATATTTTTATTTTTCCAGTGAATAAATTTCTTCACGTGTATGTATATACGTGTGGTAGGGTTTGTGTAAAATTATGATAGGTAAAAATTATTATTATTTATATTTATTTTTAAATTTTTGAAAAAAAAAGTGGGGGTTATTTGTTATATTTAAAGCTGGTTATTTGTTTGTTTTTGGTGACTGTGTATATATAACAGGTAGAAATTTATAATCCTTATTGGTTATTTTATATGTTGATGTTTAATATTTAATATGCTGGGTGAGAGGGTAGTTTAATATAATAATTATAGCGGGTCTATATGATAAGTTGTGATAGTAATGTTGCTAGGGATTGGAGACAATGATAATATAATTAGCTAATAGTTATTGTAAATTGGTAGAAATGATTAGTAACGGTGGTGGGAGAATGATAAAACCATAAATGTAGTTATAGTGGTGGTAGCTTGAACTAAAAAGTGGTTGTTGGTGTTTTATTTTATTTTGTTATATGTATTAATTTATTTTGGTATAAAACCTGATAATAGGTATTCTGTGCAAAAATTATGGTAGTTGAAGATTGCTATAATTTTTAATTTTTAATTTACAAAAATATTATTGTTATTATATTAAAGTTGGTTATTTCCTTGTTTTTTTATGACTGTGTATATGTAACTGGTAGAAATTTCAGTTTGTAATCCTTATTGGTTATTTTTATGGAGGTATTTAATATGCTGGGAGAGGGGGGTAGTTTACGTTAATAATTATGGCAGGATTATATATTAATGGTAGATGTGGTGTGATAGTAATGTGTAAGGGGGTTGGTGACAATAATAATATAAGTGGTTAATATTTATTGTGAATTGTTAGTAGTGATTAGTAATGTTGGTGGGAGAATAATAAAAACCTATAAATGTAATTATTGTGGTGTTAGCTTGAACTAAAGAGTGGTTGTTGGTGTTTTATTTTATTTTATTTTCTATATTTAATTGTTTATTTTTATTTATTATGAATCCTGGTAATAGGTGTTTATTCTTATGGTTACATATGGAAATTATATCTGATCATATTGTTTTAAGGTATTAAATATGCTGGGGGAGTAATATACGTTAATGATTGTAGTGGATTTATATGCTAATAGTAGGTGTGATGTGTAAGTGATGATGCTGGGTGTTGGTGGTAATGATAATATTATTAGTTAATAGTTATTGTAAAGTGGTAAAAGTGATTACTAATGGAGGTGCAATGATAATAACGATATATATATATATATATATATATATATATAATCGGAAACAGATTAAATCCAACAAATGTATAAAAATAATAAACATAATATATATATTTATATATATAATATTATATAAAAAGATTACTTAAGTTTCAAATATAACTTTTTTCCACTACTTCGAAATTTCTTGGTAAAATTTCCGTTCTTTAGAGGGATCTGGTTTTAAATAATATTTCCAGTTTTTTTCAATTTCTTCCGCCTCTTTTTCAATCGGTTTTTTACTCCATTTTGTACACGTGCTTATTCAGGAATTTAACATTCTTTTACACGTTCATGAATTTTGCTTTTGTTTACGTCTTCATTTTCTCAGCTGTAGATTTTGTATCCAGCGGTAAAATTTTTCTTCAAAATTAAATTATTTTTTATGATTTATAATATAGAATTTGTGTTATATATATATATATATATATATATATATATATATATATATATATATATATATATATATATATATATATATGGGAAAACGATATATACATTTCTATATATCAAGGGCAATTTTAGGGTTAAAAAACGTGGGGTACCATGTGTTTTCTTAGAGTTTCTTGAATTTGGTTTTTACCAAAATATTTTACCTAAACAATCAGCATACTTCCAATGTGTTAATAACACTCTGTCAATATATTCCCGTGAAACTAATTTACCAGACCTTGTAAATAAATTAAACAAAGTCAGTCAAACAGATTTCCTCAAAAACTGCGACTTTGTAGAGCAGCCTCCCGTGTGAGTGTTTTTTGTAATCTCTTTAATTCAAAGATCAACTGTTATCCATCCTCCTCATCCTTATATTCTTCACTTCCTACAACCTCCTCTTTCATTCATAGCACAAACCGAATTCATCATTACCATTTTAACAATAACTTTTTAACTTGAGGGGCTCTCAAGCATCGCATTCGCTGGATTTTATTAAAAAAATAAAATAAATAAATAATTATCTATAAATATGTATTCATATGGAAGATACTGTCTGCGTTGCCGGGCAGTGCAGCGTTAGACCCCCACCCCCCGGCCGAAATTAATGTGATGCAGCAATGTCAAATTCTACCGTGAGGGCCAACCCACCTGAACAATTTCTGGAAACACTTGTCATGTTAGTGTTCCAAATTCATATGTATAAACCCAAACACACACACGCACACACAGAGAATCGGGACATTCTGCTGTATGGAGTCTATGTGTCTGTTATCATTTCCCTTCACATTCACACACAAGAGTAAGTTTGAGTTTGTGCGCTAAGCTTCTGCGATGAATTTAAATGCTATAAAGGAACAATAGTAAAGTCTTATATTTCGTCTTATAGTTTTGTGAAAGAGATTTTTCCTTGAGAACCCGAAACGTCTTGAAAGGCTGTCGTAAAAAGGAAAAAAAAAAACTGATAAAATCGAATTGAATTATAGGAGAAAATAATTTCTAGAAGACTAAAGAACGCAAGAGACAAACAGTTTGTCTGGTCACCTAAGACCTTTGAAAGATTTCTTTTTTTTTTTATTCATGACGTGAACACATTTTCGTTGTTCAAAGACAAAAAAAAAAAAATAAATAAATTCGCTGAATACAGAATAATAAACAGAGAAGCAAACATAGGTCACGGAAGATAACTTGCTACATTGAAAGTAGGTGGCGCTGTTTGGGGGCAAAATGGCGGTTAGTGAGACTAAGTTGTTTATGTTTCTGGCAGCTGTTTTACTTTATTTTACATGTCACGTCTACTTTGTGTAATATGGAACAATTAATGCTGACAACGTTTTCTTTGTTTTTTGCTCTTCTTTTTATGGTGCAATTCTCAAGATTAAAATATATTAAAATACAAAAAAAAAAACAAAAACGGGGAAAGGTAATGAATGCTACAATAAAGAACTTCAGGAAAAATAAATATTTTGGTTTTCTTTAAGTTCGTAATATCTGAATTACATAATATGTTTTCGAGAATTGTAAACGTCGACTTACATAAATAGCATAAAGATTAAAAAAATGAAATAAACGCTTTTAAGAAAAAGGGGTTTTTACAAATCGAAATAATACGTTCCTGTAATTTGAAAGGAATTCTTAAATTAGTGGCCGAGTGGAAGGGAAAAAAAGAAGAAGAGAAAAAGGATATTCAGATGCAAAAGTAGAGAAAGAGAGAGATGTGGGGGAAGGAAATATAAAGAATAAAAAGTGTTAATTAATAACAACTAAAATGAAAAAATGTTTTGTAAGAAAGAAAGAAAGAAAGAAAGAAAGAAAGAAATATGATGGAGAGGTAATAAAAACATAATAGGAAAAAGTAGAAAAAGAAAGAAAGAATGAATGAATATGATGAGCAGATAATAAAAAAGGAAAAGAAAGCATGATGAATGAATGAATGAATGAAAGGCAAACTGTTGTATAAGAGTAAGTATCGTTGCTGACACTGTGGTTTGAAACTATATCGCCAGGGATAATGGATATATGTTTGCTCTCTCTACTCTACTACTATATGGATTATGATTCTCTTCTGATCATTATGCTATTTGGCAATTACTACTTGAACAAGTATTACTAGTGTAAATATAATTAGAAGGCATTACTACTAGTACCAGCGTCTACAAAATCTCGAATACAACGAGCATTTTTGGAAGTGATAACGACATAGCTAGTGACAAGTGAAGCCGTCCAACATCACAAACCAAACAGAAAGAAAGATTATGATGGAGAGATAATAAAAAAATAGAAAAACACAAGAAAGAAAAAGATATGAATAAATGAATGAAAAGCAGACAGACAGACTGAAAAAAAAAGGAAAATGTGTTTAAAAAGATGAAAATAAAAATAAGATGTGATACAAAAAAAAATTCAAACAGATTGAAAAGAAAAGAACGTAAGTAAAAATGTAAGGAAAGTTGAGAATAAATATGATGGAGACATAATAAAAATGGAAAAAAAATAGAAAGAAAGAATGTATGTATGTATGTACGAAAATGAAAGGATAAAAATGGCGGAAAGAAGATGAATATAAGATGTGATAAGAAAAACAAAGATTGATAAAGAAAGACATATAAATAATTATGGACACATGATGAAAAGAAAGAAAAAGAATGAAAGAAAAAGGAAGGAAGGAAATTTGTTAAGAGAATGAAAGAAGAATACATAAATGAATAAATAAAATTTGATGGCGGGATAGAAAAGCAAAACAGAAAAGGAAGAAAGAAAGAGATGATAATACGTACAAGAAAATTGACAATAAAAAAAAAACAAAGAGAAAAATGGATGAAAACTTTAAATGGATGAAAATTTTAAAATATTAAACAGAAAAACTTAGAATAAAAAAAATTCAAAAATGTGTATGGTAAAAAATAAACTTTAAATATCAAAGCTAACTATGATTAATAAAAATAAGAATCGCCCAGTTTGCTAAAAATTTTCAAAAATTTAATCATCAATTTCTGCACAGCCGCTGGAATTATCTGAATTCTAAATCATATCGAAAACGAATTTAGCAAACTCGCTCAAAAAAATTATAAAACGATGCATAATAAAGTTGGGTCAGTTATTCACTGGGAATCGTGCAGATGATGTTGGTTCCGTCGTGTAAAGAAATCGTCAAAGAATAAATCAGAGCTTCGTCTAGAAAAGGAGAAAAAGGGAAATATTCCAAGACTCTCTACTGACTGACCAAGACTCCATTGATAGAACGGAGTCTACAAAATTGTAAACGCTGGTAAACAAAAGCGGAAACACACCCATATATATATATATATATATATATATATATATATATATATATATATATATATATATATATATAATTAAATTCCTAGATTTCGATTTCATTTTTATCTTGAAAAATTCGGAAGACGAACAATTTTTTGTATCTCCTCAGAACAATTTTTTGTAACTCCTTATTATTATTATTATTATTATTATTATTATTATTATTATTATACTACGCTGAGAAACACAATGATGGCCTTTGAGGTTTGTTACGGAAAACCATGGTCTCCCGCCTGAGAATATAGAGAAAAAAATGCTTTATTGCAACGTATATATGTATTCGGCTGTTAAGTTAGGACAAATTCTGACATTGATCCCTTTTGTTTATTTCAGTTTTCACGGTGGTGTCGTCACGGTGTTATTTATTACCGAACGGTATAACGGTGTTATGGCGCTATCGCGCTATGTCTTCATGCAGCTGTCGTTCGGTACACAATAAAGACCCGTATGAGACAAATTAGCATCACGATCTTTATATAACTGAAAGGGACAGCTATATTTTTTTTTATTTCATTCTTTTAAGAATGGAACGACATGGGCAAAAAAAGAAAAGAGAATATGGTGAATGAGGAAGAAATCGTAGGAAAAAACGAACGAGATCTACAGAAATCCAGTCAAGTTATGAAGAAGTTTTTAAAAATACAACACGTTCAGATGGAGATGGGGACAATTACGATATTTCTCCGCTTGTTCTTGCCACTACACAGATACAGCGCCAAGGTCAGTGGAGCAATCGTCATCTTCACCAGGGGTGCTAACACTAACCACATCATTAATTCCATCGTCACTAACACTGAAGGCAAAGCAAACGGTTTTATTAAATGTTTCCGACCAGCCTTCATCTTTGTTTCATTGCCAATTTGATGTACATGCACAATATAATGAAACTAAATACGCAGTATTAATCAAGAAAGATGTAGGCTTTTTAAATTTTGATGTAAATTGCGATAAACCTTTAATAAATGTCTACGCGTAAAATAGTGAAGATATGTGCTAAAACGTTTCAGAACAAAGACCGCCATTTCAAAGTTGCAAAAGATCAGGAAGTTATTGCAAGTTTCGAAGAAGCGATGAGAAGTGAAACGAATATAAAGCATGAGGGTGTCAACCGCAGCTTCACGGATTAGGGGCTCCAATTCCACGTAATTGGTTGTTGTATTCTATTAAAAATGATGCAGTTTTTTCTTTCTTTTTTTTTGTTGTCTGTTGTCTTCAACGGCCCAATCAACCAAAGTACAGTGTTCGAAAAATCTTGTGTATTTCGAAAATGGAAAAAAATGCAACGAAAGAATACCAGAACATGAAGAGGGCATTTCTCACCGTGCGTCACTTCTTGCATGAAAATACATTGAGAAACGCATATCAGAAAGCTCTACGAGTAAGACTGAAGTGTATGGACGAGGAGAAGAAATTGTGGAAGGATCTCCTCATGTGTTTTGTAGATTGTATTAAGTCTTTAGCGACTCAACATCTGTTATTTCATGGACAGCGAGAAGTCATTTCATCAATAGTCTCAGTAATTCTCTTACATTTATTAAGCTACTTAGAAAAGTACGACCCTCTGTTGCAACATCAATTGGATTATGTCAACTCACATCCACATTCTGCAACATTTTTCTCTGTCAAAATACAGAATAAGTTCATTGAGTTACTGCGCAACGAAGCACGTCGGTCTATCTTACACAATCAAAAGAAGCTGATACTATGGGATTATGTTCAACACAAGTCCTGACATTTTTCACAAAGGACAAATGTCTGAAATTCTCAGGTTTGTCAATGTTGGCAACGAATCTAAAACTGCTGTAGTCAAGGAAGTGTTCATTAATTTTATTAAAATTCATGAAAAAGACGCAGGGAGTATTACAGAACAAATTACCTCAAAACTGGAACGAGATGTTCTTGGTTTGAACGATTGTCGTGAATAGACATATGATAATACTGCAACAATGGCTGGGAAGGTGTTCGGTGTCCAGAAACACATATCACGGAGAAACCCGAAAGAAATCTTTGTAAATTGTGACACCCATTCTTTGAACCTCGTAGGAGTGCATGCAGCATCAGAACACGTTTTTTTCTGAATTATTTTTTTGATTTCTTGATTCATTGTAAATTTTTCCCCCAGCTCAGCAATGCCGAAGGAGACAGTAGGGACGGGTATAAAACGGTCCCCTGATACAAGATTGAGTGCTAGGTGCGATGCTGTTCACGTTGTAAAAACTAAATTGGATTACAGAGAAATTGTTGCAGGATATGGCAAGTGACGTTTTAGTATCAGTTGATACTAGAAGCAACGCCAGATGCTTGCTGCACATGCAAACTTTCATCTTTCTAACTATGCTGCCGTTCTGGGACGACGTCCTGACTTCTATCGACCGAGTACAGAAGAGACTTCAGTGGCCAAGAATGAACTCCAGTGAAGTTCGAGTTGACATTCAAAGTCTGCAACAATATGTTATGAGTGAACGGGATTCTCTCTGTAAAAATTCAATTGCAAAAGCCGAAGAAATATAAATAATCGGGTATTGGCGTTGGACAACAGAGAAGGGTTTGTCGTAAAAAAAAGAATGGTTGGAGAAATGAAGAATGGCTATATTATGAATATACTAAGTCCGGCAATTATTTAATATATTTTGGTTTTAGAGATACAAATATTTAAGTAAATGCTCCGTTTATAATAAACAGTACTAACTACATTTACCGGCATAAATGTCCGAGACATTTCATAGAAAATATGTGTAATTCGACAGGAATCGAACCTGTACTCTATAAAGAACAGTCATATAGTTTGACGTAATATACATGAGAAGCGTCTGGTCATCAAACAACGAATTTTCGATGATTTTCTTGAACGGTCATATCTGCTCAAAGCATATGATAACGTAAACAAATGACATCATATATTATGAAGTCTGATAATTATTTAATATATTTTCTGTTTATACGTTGTTTTTATAGATAAAACATTTAAGTAAATGCTCTGCTCTTAATAAACGGTATTAACTACATTTACCGGCTTGAATATATATATATATATATATATATATATATATATATATATTGGTATCAAGATTTTCAACACATTTTGTATCAAATTAAATCGAGGGCTGTTCAATATTTTATTGCATTTTTCTATTTTTCAATAAGGTGTAAATTGGGATCAAATTGGTAAACAAGCTGTCAGATATTTATTTTTTCTTCTGTTTTTGTCTAATTTCCTTCGACCCAGTCAGTTATTATCAAGAACTGCTTGTTGTCAGTGTGGTAGACAATATACTGTTCGATGCATGGTATCTTTTATGTGTTTTTTTTTTTTTGTACGTGAGATGTGATTCAAATTAGTTCAAAGTTCATGTGGTAACAGTTAAATAGCAGCTAAATTGTTGTCTGGCAAAATATCTTTTAACATTCGTCGTATATGTGTGTCATTAAATTTCTCCATGTAGAAAAAATTACACACTGACATTCATCAAATATTAGTAGATAATAATAGAATACTATACCGTGTATATTTAGGGGAATGGTTCAAAATTCTAGAAGCCATTTTTATGCAAAACAAACAAGTCATATTAAATATCTTTCCCTACAGGAGGCAGTCTATTGTAGTTTCTGCATAAAGTGTAGATAGGGATATTGAAGAGTGAAATCTTGAGTCAATGACTTTAATAAGGAAACATTATAATAAGGAACAGTGGCATGACTAGTTTAAAGAAAACAAAATGGTCACTTCTTTCAGCAGCTCTGAGATGGCTTTGCGAAAAAGATGGTTTTAAAAAAAGAGAAACAGTCATTTATATTTGAAGCTCAGGAGACTAGCACCAGGAAGAATGCAGTTAAAATCAGGATAGATAGATTACAAGAAAATGCAGGATTTTTTTAAAGTACAGTTCACCCTGCACAAGGTCCGGAGCCACTCGAGCTAGAGGTTTACGTTAAGGGGTAGTTTATATGGATAGGAGAAGAAGATAACGGTTGACTCTAGACTTGAACAGGTTAAGATTGTAATGATCGGGAAAACATCCTCTAAAGAGTCTGTTCCATAGGGAAGTGGGTTCGCGGGAAGAAACTGTTTGAATGAAACATACTTCTCGTCGATTAAATACAGAGTTGAATGTGAGTGGTTTGCTAAAATATCAGTATTATAGCGGGTCCTAGATGTGAAGGTCAGAACTGGTGTAACCAAAAGATGCACTTCTTCCGTGCCCTTTCCATGGTAGTAGCGATAGAGTGACAAGAGGTGTGCAGACAAGCTTTGAAGCCAGTTAACCACGTCGTCAGTCGATTTCCCAAGCGATACATGATTGGATTAAGAGAATCTATTGGAAAGTATGACGTAAATTGGGCTCCAGTGTTAAAGAGAAATGATATGAAGACGCAGTATAAGAAAGTGACAATCATAAGATGCCATGCTATTTCTCGGTCCACACAGATCATGTTATGAAAGCACGATGATCCGATGTTAGTGTTATAGATGAGGAGAGTATCAAGCGTCAAATTATTGATTTTGCTGTTCGATAATATAAGAGTGAACTGAAAAGATTGAAAAATACCACGATCTGAGTAAGATGTTGAAGACTCTTCGGAAGACGACTGCTGGAGTAATCCCCTAAGTAATGGGTAAGATTGGAACACCGCGTAGAAATTTGAAAGAGCCCATAGGGAAGATTCGAACTGAGACAAAAATTGTAGACCGCCAGAAAACTATTATCCTTTACTCTGTAAGTAATCTCCAAAAAAAATGACATCCTGCCTCAAGAACAGAATTTCCACTGTGTACGTCAATACTCTACAAACGAGCCACCAATCTGCCACTGGGTGGCATGATACTAGTGTTTGCCGCTGGTGGCCCTATATCGGACCGCCGGCATGTCCGTTTCAGCAACATTACCACTTATGGGCCGCTAGAGGCACATCGGTGGCTGCCACCAGAGGACCGCTAGCGTTGCTATCAGCGGTCCGCCAGCAGGCCACTAGCGACTTATATGTTGAGTATGCAACACCAGAATAACCCCTATAAATATTTGTTACATAATTCTCCAGGGTGATCTGAGCCTAGGCAAGGAAGAAAAGCAAAATAAATCTGTTAACAGACGTCGCCATTCCAGTTAATTACAGAATGAAATTGGGATTGAACTTGGGAAGATAGTCTTACGAGAACACTGAAAATATTTTGGAATATAAATGCAATGATTGGTTTCATCGTCACTGGTTTGCTTAGAACAGTTCTAATTACTTTAAAAATGGTTTGGAAAATTTGAAAATCCAGCGAAGACTCGAAATTTACCAGATAACACAGCCTGTCTGAGCAAATTAACAAGAACTCGCGCTACTTTGTGGGACAGAATCCTGTGTAGATGTTTCCTAAAACACTACAATCTTAATATCTTCAAGTCAAGAGTCAGTCGTTGTATATTCCATCAGAACCTTGTATATCCTTCTTACTTCCCCTTATTTTGTTTAGTAACCCTCTACCAAGAGAGTGACTCTTGAAACTTGTATTAGACAAACCTTTGTAGAATAAACAAAAACAAAAAAACAAAACAAAAAACAAAAACAAAATGAGAAACTTTCTCGTATCAGTATGAAACTCTAATACTCATATCTTTGAATTTTGTTGAGATGATGAAATCTATTATTTCATTAATGAATGTCGCTGCTTATAACTTAAAACAAGAAAACTGGACAATTATTGAGATTTGTTCAATATAGAATATACTCACAGGACATGTTTAATTAAGTACCCCCCCCTATCTTGTATATTTTTTAGGACTCGTAATGAGTGAATTTTAGTTAGAAATAGACTCTTGGAATCGTTAGAAGATTGTAGTCACTTGATCTTCAGCGAATTTTACCAGTGACAAAGAGGTGGTAAAATGATCTTTTCCCAACAATTACCGTGTCACATAAAATCCTTATATTTGGTAATTTGGTCATATTTTGGAAGGTAGGATCGGCCGTGAATTTTTCACCACCCCATCGAACTACTGGCGCGAAAACACATAGGAAAAAAGATTATGCAAAGGAAAAATAAAATGTTATAATGTTGGTTTAACCCTTAGTTTCCTGCTTGTCTTTGAATTTTTTTTTTTTTTTTTTTTTGACAGAGGTTATTTTGTTTAAAAGAAACAGCCACACGCGTGTAATTCTAAAAAATCCTATCTTTGTCGACTCGAATCGATAACATGTTTACAGAAATTGGCTGAAAATAGAAACTTATTTTCCATCGGTAAATTTAAAAATTAGAATAACAACACGTTCTTTAATTTTGGAGAATCGTTACAATTCCAACATTTGTCAGAATTTCTTTTTTATTTTGGTTTTGGTTTTGTGATTACCAAAATTTTTCGGCCGATCCATTTTGTAAATTTGTTCAGATGAACATACGATAAGAAAAGCGGATACGGGTCTTTTTTTTTTCAACAAATAAGAAATACACAGTGAATATGAAAATTTTAAGGAGAGTGCTTTTCTGACAATCATGATACTAAATTATCAAGTTACAATAAAATACACACCCACAAATACATAATGACGATGATAATATTCATTTCACCATTTCGGTTAGTACAAGGTGACCAAAAAAATTATTGCCGTTTCTAATTCATTAGAAAAGGGGTATACAGCAAATTTGATATAATGTTAGTCCTTAAAGTCGGCATCCAAAAGCTTTTTCCAAAGTGCCTCCAGTCCTGACGGCAAAAATCAGGTGCCTTAGACAAAAAGTATACTGTGAGTGCCTCATTTGCGATGGATTTACCACGAAAGTGCTTGTCCAGTGAATGGAAGCGGTGGTAATCTGTTGAAGCAAGGCCCGGGAAGTATGGTGGATGGCATAGTGTCTCCCAGCCAAGTCGTAGTATGGTATCCCTGGACCTACGCGCCACATGAGCCCTATCATGGAGGAATAATACACTCTTGAGATTAACCAATGCTAGCACCTTCTGCCTCAGTGCCTGTTGTACACGTTCTAACTGATGCGAGTATAGGGCCTCAGTGCCCCGTTAGTAGAGGATCATAGTGCAAAACTTGTCGACTAGATACGAAGCATGATCTTGCGTGGA